CTTTCCGGGCAACCTAATATAAAAATTCGCTCGTGACCACAGATCGCATAGAATAATAACACCGCCAGGCCGCTTTTGCCGAATTTTTTTCCTCCACGTTTCTTGCCGTCGGGGTTCGAAATAGAAACGCCGCTGAAAACGTGAAGCGAATCTTCCAACGAGGCTCCAGATGTACATAGGTTTCGCGCGAACACACGCGTGCACACGAGTACGCGAGCGTATGCAAGCTCAGCCCGAACCCGGACCAAAGTAACCCATCTGCCGGACGGTCGGCACGATGGCGACGGTTTTTCTCGCTGGTTTGCACCGACGGTTTTTACCGCATTCCAGCGGGACCAGACGTGGCATTTGCGTAAGCAGTTCTTCCTATCTCGCTGCGAGAGTCACATCTGTCCGGACTTCCTCTACCTTTTTCTTTCGCTTTCGCCACGACTTGCTCTACCTTTTGCTCTCTCGATTTCACCGCTGACACCTCCCTCTCCATTTTATTCGCCACGGTCTCTTTCCGTTTCGCTTCTATCGAGCCATCTCGTCCTTATTATCGTGTAGACGTTATCTCGATGGACGAATTCGAAACTTCAACGACTTCGTATGTGTATACTTAAAAATAAATGTTTGATGAAGGGTTGGTGCACCTTTGTATGAAGGATGGAAGCTAAGGAAGTGGATACCGGTACTGGTTTTCGCGAAAGCGACAAAACGCGCGACAATTTGAATGCATTCGATGGCGAACAGTAACCGACTGACTGGTTTCGAGGAGACAACCAGTGCCGAATGGTCGGTACGATACAACAAAAAATGTACAGACTTTGCAAGAACGCAAGAGTATGGAGTTTGAAAATCATGTTTCAAGCGGTATCCTTTTAATGTTTCTTCATTTTTGCTCGTTGGTCTCAGAACGGGCTGTCGATGGACATTTTTGAAAGCTGACAGTCGCGCAAGTAGATGAGGAAACGAATAAAAAATGCTTAAAAAGCCAATTACGTTAAATGATGTCTGAACAATTGTAGGATGCATTATAACATTATATACAGTAAGGAATAAAACTGAACGCATACATGGAATTTCAGCGTAAATAATATTTCATTGTATGTAACATAAACAAACACAATACGTAGTACTATGCGTAATGCTTTGATCTTCTATGAAAAATATTAAATTCGTATTATTATCATTATTTTGGTTACTGTAACTGATTTTCAATAAATTGTTCAGCTTTTTCCAGGCTTAATATATGGTGCATAATCCTTTGGCTTTAACAGTGGCTCGAACACGCTTTGGCATACTTAATATTAAATTTTCGCAATATTCTAGCGTAATACTATGCCACTGTTCCTGCATCCACTGCCATAAGTCATTTAATGTTACTGACGGACCGTTATATTGATTTACCAATTTCATTTTTAAATATGCTCAAGCATTTTCTATTGGGTTTAAATCTGGGCTTAGAGCAAGGCATTCTAAAATTTTAACCGGTTGTATACCTATGAAATTCTTCATATTTTTCGCAATTTTTTCAGGTCGTTGTAATGTTAGAGTATGGTATCATATTTCGGTTCATCCTCAAACGTTTTCACTTGTTTGATTAATGTATATACTCAAAGATTTAATAAAATATTATTTACGTTAAAATTCTATGTATGTGATCATTCTTACTTCTCGCTATATATTTCATGTATATGTCGCATATTTGCGTAATCCGAAGCCATAACGTTAATACCATATTCTGATAGATAATTAAGAGTTGCCCTCCACTTCATCGCAACTTTTCTTGCTACTTTTTTTTCATGGATGTTCTCGACAGACTCGCGGGCGGTTTCTCATTACATTAGGGAACTCTACCGAGACTCCTGGCGTATTTTGATTCAATTGCAAAGCCACCAGGAGACACGATAATAATCGGCCCCGCAGGCGGGGATCCTGGAGAGCTTTAAATGCGATTAACCGACACCGGTGCATTACATAGCCAGGCACGTGACCGCGTGTCACGCGCACGGATTATAAATATAATATACCGGGTGTAGACCGCGCGTCCTACGCGAGTTGGATTGATATCGCCCTTCGAGGGTGCAGGGAACGCTGGACTTCCTCGTTTGTGGCCCCCTTCTGCTCCCGACCGACAGAATCGCGTCTGACTCTCTCGTAGACGTCGTAAATCACGACCGCCGAGATCGCTCCCGATTATTAGAAATACCACGCATGATTCGTCCGCGTTAAGTGGATAGTCTGGTCTGAAACTTTGGAAGAACTGATTTATCGAATTTTTAATTCCTTGAAGTATAGGGTTTCGAAAGTAGGGGGAAGTAGTAAATTTAACTCTTCACGCTGGATGTTAAATTGTTTCGTTTGGTACAAAAGTAATTTAATATTTAATGCATCTTTTCATCTTAAAAAAGAAATGCTTTTAATATTATGATATTCTTTTGATGATTATTAAACCTTCAACATCCATGCTTAAAATTCATATTCATTCAAGTTAATTTCATTCTTCGGAACTTTAGAAACAATGGAGGTATTAGATGCAAGTTTCTGTAGTAATTGTTGAATATGAAGAAGTGCTAAAGACGTCGACGAATTTTAGATAACAAATTTTAGGTGTACTATTTTACTATAATATATCTAACATTTGCAGTATACATTTTTACAATTTGCATGTGCGTTGTCCATTGTATTATTAAATGTAATCACAATTGCATTATTATTAATTTGTACTATATATACCAAAGAGTTTTTTCTATTTACCTAAACGAAAAGAAGTCTCGACTTTAAAAAAAATGTAATTAATTAAAAGATCGATTTTTCATTCCGGTTTTAGGCTTTAGGCTTCCTTTAAGGTCCGCAATGGCGACTCGATCGTGATCCATCTAGCTGACCAATGTAACTCGCGACACCTCTTGCCAATTATCGAACCTGATGATCGATCGGCGACGTATCCATGACTATTGTACTGATTTAAATTCTTGCGCCATTTTATCTGCACTTAGCCTGAAGTACGATCACGAGTGTCGTCGTATTTACAAAAGTTAATCCTATCTCAACATCGATCGATCTTACTTTTCGTTTCATCTGCGATTAACGTCTACGACGTAAACTCGTTGTTTTGTTGATTGGAATTTAGGTAGGATAAGTAGTTGGGTATGGGTGGAGAATTTTTTGTCATTGGAAATCAGTGTAACCCCTGCATTTATCGTTTACCGTAATTTTGTTACAATTGTAAGGAGGTGCTTAAATATACAGGGTGGTCCATCAGACATTACCATTTCTGTTTACGTCAATCTTATTATAGATAGTGAAAACTGATTCAAACAGAGCTGAATAGTTTTGATTAGTTTTTTTGTAGATGAATGTGAACAGAGCGTATAAAGTTTATTAACACTTTTTAAATGGGATTAATACTTTTTATTACAGCAGTCGATACAGCTTAATATTCTGTTCAAAAATAATGATATTTATATTCAACAATCATTAGTTTACGAGATATTTTAATTTTAGTGTTTTTACAAAATCATGGCTCTTTTGTTAATGCTGTAGTAAGTTTATTTACAGGAAAAGTTCAATATGACGACCATTTATGTCACGGCAATTTCTGAATCGAAAAAGTAATAACTTTCTTTACATTGTCTAATATATTTGATGGTATTTTCATTCAACTTTAACTGAATCATTTTTCGCTATGCATGATAATATTGACGTAAACCGGATTAATAACATCTGGTAACCACCATGTATATGAATTAAATTTGCTTAGAAACTGGTAAATACGTAGGTGAATGATATTTTAAATTATGTTTCTTCTTATAAAATTAATTTACTCTTCAGAATTATCAAATCCTAAATTTAAAGAAAATTCATATGTAAATTCATACGTAAAAATAACTGTAATTCGTATTGGATCTTATAGTAGCTTTAGCTGTAGTTTCAGACTTACAATTAGAGGAGTTCACTAATAGGTGGTTAGCCTCTTGAGGGATATTAACACATATGCGTTTGATTTTACAGTAAAATTACTTAAATACCTTTTTTAGAATTAAAAATTATACCATATTAAGCATATTTCTCTGTCAAAATGAATTTACAAATAAAAATTGCTTTGGTTTGTGTGTATTCAATAAGAGGAACAAAAAATCCATTTAAACCTCGTTCTTCGAGAGGTTAAAGCCAAAAAGTCCTAATTTTTGCTTTTGCGATATATCCATTAAAACGAACAATTCTCTAATTTTTATGAGTTAAAAAAAAACGTTTCTTGAATATGTCTAATTTACGAACGTAAGAGGTACGTAACTGACGAAATATACGAATAGGCCCCACGAAACATATAAAGAGGCCACAAGTTTCCATCTCTGCATTAGAAAAAGTATTTGAAAACAGAGTTCTCCCTGTAGATCGGTAAACTTCGATTTTCTTCCGCGATGCCTCGTTAAACCCGTACCCGTTCTCCGGACCAAGCAGGAAAAAAGGACCCAGTACGTGACTCAAATCTTATTCGGTCAGGTTCTTCCGCCAGAGGAAACCTAATTTACCTTCTTCGTTGCTTCAGATTCTCCTGCATCCACGCTAAGGCCACCTTATATTTCACGTGTCCTCCGTACGTGACGTCGCTTTTACCTTGTCGCATTTCACCGTTGTTTCCTGATTGGTACACCAAGTATCTTCGTACCACGATTTCTCCAATGTTTAACGTCCTAAACGCCACCATAATTGTAAAGTAAAAGGTAGAGAACAACAAATTTCCTGTGAAATGTATGGGTACTACGAAAAGCGAATAGTCAAGACTTTCGTGTCAATTTTAATATCTTCGACAATTCCTAATTCCATTTTCTGTTTATATTTTCGCGATCCGACTAAAACCCTGGTGAAAAATAATTCTTTGAAACATTTATTTATAAACGTTTCGATTACTCCTGGATAACCAATTGTCGAGACGATAGTTGCTCTAAATAGACGAGTTTGATGAAATTCCACGAGCACACCAAGCGAAACGAGAAAAATTTATTTTTCAGAACGACTGTCGTTCGGAGTGGGTCGGCTGGTGGGTTCCCCGGCAACGAGTCCCTCTCCGTCGCATTCTCCCTGTCCAGATTCGCCGCCGTCGGATCGACGAGACGGCGATGTCGACGTCGACGTCGACGAGGAGGAAGTGGACGTGGACGTCGAGGAAGTCGAGGACGATCGCGACGCCGCGTCGAGTCCGCCCCGATCGTCGACGACGCCCTCGCCAACGAGCATCGCGACGTCACCCGCTTCGAACCCGCCCAAGAAGTCTGGCGACACTTTCAGCGTTTCCGCCCTGCTCAGGCCTGATCCGCCATCCGCACACCTGCAGAACGCCTCTCCTCATCGGGACACAGCGTCAATCGGCGGGCACCCGCCGCCTCCTGGTTCCACGATGCTCTATCCGCCCCTTCATCTTCAGGGTGGACTGCTGCCGCCCCATCCCCATCATCCTCTCTCGTACCTGCACCCTCAGCTGCTGCCTCATCATTTGTTACCTCCGCACCTGCACCCGCTGCTACGAGGCGTTCATCCGGGTCACCCTGGTCTGCACTCGACCCACACGGCGCACGGGCTTCATCATCCTCATCCTCTCGGCGACGTTTACAGCTGCGTCAAGTGCGACAAGATGTTCAGCACCCCTCACGGCCTCGAGGTAGGTTGATCGAACGAAATGCATAGGAGACGTAGCAATTTGTTGGATTGTTCCAACGGGTGTGGGATTCGAGGAAAGCTCGAGAGATGCTTGATTAGATTTAACGCGTTCCAAGCTGTTAGAAATTTCAGCTTTGCGGCTGGTCCCTGTTCGGGACGTCCCTGTAATTTGTAGTAGGATTGAGAAGGGGATAATTCTTCGAGTAGAAACAAATTGAGAGTATACGATGAAATGCATATTGCAGAACATGAAAGTAATAACGAAATTCGATTTATTGATATTCTTATCATACGAGAATATTGTTACATATAAATGGCATAAAGATAAATAGTTAGGTAGATGTATTTAAGCCTCCTCTCCTGCGGTCGAGACAAAAGCGACCGACATATTAGTTCCATCATTAGGTTTTTGTATTGTTTGCGCAACTGTGAAGACTGAATTCAGTAAGACTGAAATCACCCAAAGGTTGTAAATAAAAATTAATTTGGTTTTAAAGAAGAAGTTTGTTTTTAGTGAGTAATAACCCTATTTGTACGTGATAAATGCGTTGTTAGGTGAAAAATGGGCCAAAAATATGGCAAGGTCGGATATCGACTCAACAGGAGTAAATGTATGATCAGAAACTACCGTAGGAGAGGAGGGTTAGATTTTAGTTCGTTATACCTTTACGAATGAAGCTATTCTATTGCATGAAGCTGTTCTCTGACACTAGGGTCCATAATAATAAATCTCACTTAGTTAACGACACTTTGCTAAACAAAATTTACTCGTTATACTTTATGAGAAAATACAAATGTACTATAGATTACTTTCAATTTATTCACACAATGAGGGAACGTATACTTATTCTGACAGTTTTAATACCTTTGCATCTTACGAGGCTATTTAGTCGATCCGTTTAGCTCGTAATTCGAAATCGATCGAGAAGTTTTACCGAGGGTGTGATTTTTACAGGTGCACGCAAGGAGGTCACACAACGGGAAGAGACCCTTCGCCTGCGAGCTCTGCAATAAAACCTTCGGCCATGAAATCAGCCTTACGCAACACAGAGCCGTGCATTCCGCGGAGAAGGTGTTCGAGTGTAAGCAGTGCGGTAAAGCGTTCAAGCGCTCCAGCACTCTGAGCACTCATCTCTTAATCCACTCGGACACGAGGCCGTACCCCTGCCAGTTTTGCGGGAAGAGATTCCACCAGAAGAGCGACATGAAGAAACACACCTACATACACACCGGTGAGTGATGTTTGCCTAACATTTTGAAACCTAAGGTGTTGGAATATTCGGAATAATGTTGATACGTTCATTTCGCCATTTCCATATATATATTTTGGTTCGCATCTAATACGGATGCTCTCGTTTAAAATTAAAATACGGATTGCAGAAATTATTTTTCTACGTGAGCTGATATTTTTCTTCTATACACATAATTTAACGTTTTCCATTTTATTATATTTGATTCTGGAATAAATGAATTTATATCAAAATTATCCCGAATAATTTAATAAGAGAATTTGAACTAAATTCAGCAACTCGCGAAGCCTGCAACGTATCCTGAGATGATTTCATAATTTTACTCCGTTGGCATAGTTCTCCCCATTCGAAATTTCACGAAATCAAGTTCGTTAACCTTCGACGTCCGCAATCGTGGAATTTCGTGATTCCCGTCCGCGTTTATGGCAGCGGGGATGCCGCGGATCAATTAGCAGAGCAACTTCATACGATAAATAATGCAGTTAACCGTCTGGACGGAGTCTTGCCGTAAGCAAGAGGATCCCAGTCGGATCGTGGCACATGTGGCCAGTGCATTTTAGGGGTGCCGAGCCCCTCATTGCGAGCTTCGGTAGGTAATAATCGTAATGTCTTTCGGGGTGGGCATCGTTCCGTTCTTTTCTATCGTACGACTCGCTCGTTCTTGGCTCCCACGACGTGGAGTGACACAGTAAACCCCCAATCTTCGAATGGAATTTTTCTATGACGAAAATTGTCCGTGGGAAACGTGGCCAGGTCCCTTTGCCACCCCCTACGAGTACATATCACGAACATAAGATTCTATTTTCTTTGAATGATCACCATCTCGAGTTACCGTGAACTCCGTTTAATATAAAATGAAACACCAAGGAGTAATTTCTATGTGGACACTTGTCACTTTTAATGAATAAACACAACTGATATACATCATAAATTATTGTTGTACAATTTTTTGTTGCTAAATTCTGTTTCAGATGCGTATTTAGTAACATTTAATAATATTAAAGTTTTGAGTGGTGTATGAAATTTCGTAGAGAAATTATGGGATTGTTTAGATGGAAAAGTTCGGAAAAACTGTCCAACATCCTTCAAACATTTATGCGAAGGTATTACAAAATGATATGAATAATATTACTTAAGATACATGAGGAATTAATGCCTATATCCATATACTTGTGAGTGGGGGCGTACATAGATCATTCACGGGAAGAGTAGATCCTTTTAGAGCTAAGAATAAATGACGTAGAATAACATACCTGTTCGTCACATTTACTCAAGTGTGTTTATTTGAAAATAGTAACGTTTCTCTTGGTTTTAAATTGTACTTATATCTATAGTTGTTACAGTTATTAGAATGGAAAAATAAAAAATATAGGTGTATCAGTTAGGGTGTACAGTACTGTTGATATGTATGTATTCGAACGGCTTAAGTTCGAATTTCGGAAAGAAGAAGAAGACTTTGAATTTTCACCGAGTACGAATGCATTTGATCATGTCCCTTTGTTACGGATTGCGCTGTAAATCATTGTCTCGATTGAAGTAATGTTAATAAATTCTTGACAAGGAAATGTTTTCTTACCTATTATGTTGCTATTATTATCTAAAACAATCGAATACGTTAAAAATCGTTCATAGAAATTCAATTAGAAAATCAGAAGTATGTATTTGGCAGAAGGAACAACATTTTCAGCAATTTCTGTAATAATAAACTTTTTGATTACTTCAACATTCTATTTCATTACGTGTTCCCAATTTTTCGTTGCGATAAAAACAAACTCATTCTGCGATAATAACCATCGAAACAACGATCTACAGTCAGTGCACCCGTACCCGGCGAAAATTGAAAGTCGATTTTCTCGAAAACAAAGTCTCACATGAAAAATTTTTATTCTATACTTTCGACTCATTTTTTCATGTAGATTCATTCCCTTTCCGCTTGTACCCCCAGTTACCGAATACCCTGTATAAAGGAAGAGTTCAGAAGTTGGGAAGAAAATTACATATACAGCGAGAGTGACTTCTAAAATGACTTTGTACATTTAAATTTCTGGAGGTTATCGAGCATAGCGACTGAAAGTTACTAAATATTAATAGAGACGCAAAAAGTTCGGCCGAACGACACGACCAACGCGCCGAGGCAAACTATTTCCGCTCGTTTCGTGCTTGCCTTCGACAGTTCGTATCCCTGTCCGAAGTTGATGACCACGCTGCGCCGGCAAGCATCCCTTAGGTGGCCTGTAGGTGAGCTTGGCGACGGTGTTGGGAGACTTGACACTTAGGTGTCTCGGGGCTGATGGAGCGGCGCTCCTGAAGGAGTAGGTTCTTCGAGGGTGGAAGCGAGCGAGAGGACCAGCTTAAGGAGGTTGCGGGAGTGTTCCAGTCAGGGGTCTGGGTTTTGTATCGTCTCCATGGAAACCCTCCCAATGTCTTATCAAATTATCACCTTGTCCTCCCCCATGCTCCTCCTCCTCATCCTGTTCGTCGCTCTGACTGCCATTCGCCTCCCCCCTCGTTCTCCCTACTCTCGGTGAAACAACCGAAGAAGGATCCGGCGAAAGAGGATACAAAGCGATGGTCACTTCCGTTAGGCTTCTAACAACCTACGGGACCTCTGTGTGTTGTCTACGCGCCTCTGTCCACCTTCACGCACCGCCCCCTCGAGGGTCGCCACGGAACATTTAATTCATTATTCAGAGGGATGAAGAATTCAGGCTGCTCGAAAGAGTCGGCGGCCGTTCACGGTCCGCTCGCGGCAATTTTCCCGTGAAACGAGGATGCCTCGTCTGTTTCTCCCCCCCCTTTTTTTTTCTTTCAATGCTTTCCCGTCTCTTTGATTTCCCTGGGAGGTCTCTTATTATCCCTTTTCCCCTTAACGAGTAGGCATCGGGATCGTTGGAACAGTGCTGATAGTATTTCACTACGTTCCTGCACTTTTCTTTTTATATGTATATACCATTCGCATCATCCATATTGTTTTCGATACAGACCAATTTCGAACAATGTATAACCATGTTAGAATATAAACTATTCGAATAGATATTTTATAGTTACCCGTCCCATCGTGCAGCAACTTCCAGAAAACCACCCCTCTAGATCTCGAAACTTCTGTTCCTCGACGTCTGCGCGACCAGTTAACCAGTTCAATTAAAATCCTCAATCATCGACCTTATCTCCCCTCTCGCCGCATCACCATCACCCTCTCACTCCCATTCCCCAGAGCGAAACGAAACGAAACGAAACGAAATCCCTTACTGCCACGACCTCGAGGTGGCGTGCGTACGTGCGTCAAGCAGTAAACCGAGGGTGTTCTGGGACTCTGGCTGCTAATGATAATCAGTCCTCTCTTTCCAGCCAGCTCCTACCCCTACCTTCTCCTCCCCCCCCCCCGCTCTTACGCAGTCCATATTCCCTTCGTCGTGAGCACGGGCCATGTGCAATAAGGGTGCGGCACCGTCGGATTCCCCGGGGACCGGCATGGCGTAACGTAAAATCATTATTAGGTAGGTAGGTAGGTGGTTGCTGGTGCACACGAGGGGTGGCAAGAGAAACGGGGGCCTCGGTGGAGCGACCAGGGGGCCCGGGGGGTGGCTGAAGCGGCGCTTACGGGGTCGGGAAGTGCGGGAATAAGAGCTCTGCAAATATTGTTCGTGCGCGAGCCAGCAGCCGGAATAGCTACCGAGGGGTCGAAGCGTTACTTCGCGTTACCTTCGCTGTTAGGTGCGCCTTTTTGGGGGGAGAGGGTGCGTTCTCTGGGCCACCGGGTGGCTGGCGACGAGTCAAGTGCAACCGTGGGGGCGGCTGCAAGGGGTTGACGGGTTCGGTTGACGTTCGGGCAGAACGGGCGACAGACCGACGAGTGGTCGCACACGTTCGTTTCCCGATGAGAAAACATCGAACTTATCTGTTTCCGATGATCCTCGCCCCTTTCCCCCCTGAAACCCGAGAAAATATTACTCTTCGAAGTTCGTGCCGAGTGGCGGGACAAATGGACGTGATGATTTGGTGGCCAGCGAGGACCTCGACGATGAATTTCCTCGATCCACGAGCTGAAAATTCCGTGGCATTTATCTCCGGAACGATTAGAGGGGTGAAACTTATAGATGTTGGAACTGAATATTTTGTCAACGTAATTCGTCGTTGGGATCGAAGGTCTGTTGTTTCGAGCAATGGTAATTCGGAATGGTCTGCTGTTTTGGAGGATGTTTAATTTTCACGAATATGTGGGAAGCTTTCATGACTCGTTATAACAGGGGTATAATCTTTTTCCCGACAAAAGTCGCTGACAACTCGAGCGAGTGGACGCTGACCAAGTTAATCCTAATAAATTAAATATTTCTAACAAGAATATAAAGTTGACGATCGAAAGTTTTAGTCGAACCGGTTAACTAATCGTGTAGACATCGAGGAACAGAGGTTTCATGATCGAGAGAGAATATTTATCGCTAATCAATGAACGGTAAATAGATGTTCATTCTATGTAAGCAACGTTCATATCGTGAAGTCATAAACTATATCAAGTAACGCAAAGTCCGATGTTGTGATAAGCTGGATGAAGATAGATACAGAATGTCATTTAAACGAACATCGGTCACTTGGATTTTTAATTTGGAGATAGTTGCTCACGCCTCGTAAGCATTGGAAATGAATAAGAAAAGAACCAATCTTCATTCGTGTTCCACAATAACGAACTTCACGGTCACAGGATTGTGATTACAGGGAAATGTTATCGATCAAAAGCTACGTCTTTCTGCCACCGAGACAATCAAGTTGCTGGGCGCACGCACCCTTAAACACACATGCTTGTTACACGATCGAGCGCACAACCAGCGGTCTCCCATGTTTTCATAATAAACACAACCTGTCCAACGTCGCACAAAGTAAAGTCGATAGGGGTGAAGATCTCGAGGGTTGCCATCGGGGTCCGTATACTTCCCGATCTCATCGCGCGGACCAGCCTACATCAGCTCTATGTTTACGTTCCCTAA